GGAAGGAAGAGTTTTTGTGTTATCTTTTTAAACAATCAAGACAGAGTGGGGCAACCTGATGTGAGAGAACCATTACAGAAATATGATCATAGTATGTTGTGCTTTGTAATAGATTTTGAAACTGTTTAAAATGAGTATATATCAAACATTTACAGTATCAGGGAAGCAGAGTTTGAAAGTATGAGACAGAGTTTAAGAGAAGTAAAACCTAATAATTTTCCTCTATAAGCAGTGAAGAATACAAGAAGATAAGAAAGGTAAAAAACAAGAGATCATTTGGCCCATCAAGCCTATTTGAGACAGAGCAAGTAAAGCAAAAAGCCAAATAAAAAATGCAAACGATCCAATAAATCCGTCCATTCCTTTAATTTTCTAACTTCTTTATCAAATACAGGGTCACAGGGTAGCTGGAGCCTATCCTGGCAAGAAATGAGCACAAGTCTGGACATACCCTGGGCAGGATGTCACAGACTACACAGACACAAACATACACACACTCACACCAGGGTCAATTGCCTACCTAAAAGCCAATTTACCTACCAGAATGATGGACTGTGTGAGAAAACTGGAACAACTTGATATTTACATCTTCTAACATACGTACAATCTGTAATACTTTCAGTGATTGTGACTATCCTGTGATTTTGACAGGAAAACCCCTGTTGTTACCAAATGTTAATCAGCAAAAATCACCATGATATAACTTGCCAAATGTGATGAAAACGTCAATCGCCAAAAAAAAGGTCATGTCAAAAGCTAAAAAACTTTCAATACAGTAGGAATTGATAAGAAGTGATGTTTATGTGCAGGGTCAGATTAACGAACAGGCTAGCATAAACTGTAGCCTAGGGGCCCCGGATTGATCAGGGGCCCCCAGTTGGCCAGAGTATTTTTTAAACGGACCTGTGGGCCAGATCAGGGGCCCCTGATTAGACAGGGTATTTTTTTAAATGGACCTGAGGGCTCCCATTGGTCCATAAAAACGTTGAATAATTTTTGAACCAATGATTGGTTAGATGCAATGGGTTCGCAGTTCAAATTTATTTTGGCGGATTCATCGGGTGATCTCTGCAGCAAGTTTAGGATTGCCAGCCTCAAAATGTGCGATAGAAAATCTGATAGTGGTCGCAAAACCGAAAAGCACAGCAGTTAAAAGAGCAGTGTGAGCGGGATCTAATTAAAAGATCCCCAGACTGACCGGTTATTTCAAGTTTGCTAACGTTGCAGCCAGTGCTATAGCAACCACGGTTGAAAAGTTAACTGCAGCTAGCTCTAGCCTTGACACAGTCTACATCAACGCTCATGAGGATGAGCCAGCTCCCACAACTGGATCAAAGGAACATGAGTTAGAGGCAGAGCCATCCTAAATGCCACCACAATCTCCACAAGACCAACAAGCTATATCTGAGCTGCCTCCATGGCTGTTGCACCTGCTGCCTTGGAGCTAACAGAGGCTGCAACAGCAGCTCCTGCTTCCTATAGCTCGGACCCAGCATGCTGAGGTAAAATAAATGAACAGATGAGGGCATACTGGGCTAAATTGGGTCTGAAATCGTGTCAAATCCAAGACACGGATGTTGCAGCATCAGAAAGATAACATAAACACCAAAAGAGGTATTTCTCTTAAACCCTTTTCAAAAGAAAACTAGGAAATGGCGACTCTGTGTCAAGAGAATGGCTGCTGTATTCCCCTTCGAAAGGTGTTTTGTTTCCGTAGGCTGTAGTATCTGTAGTAGTATCTGGAAAATTGCCTCAGCACGCTTGGTTGAACACAAAGTGTCGGAGAGCCGTAGAAAGGCTATGGTTGCATATGTTATGCGCTGTGCTGATAATGGTCTAATAGATTCAGAACTAACAAGACAGTTTGACAATGAATATGAGTATTGGACTAACGTCTTGAAAAGGGTTGGTGCAGTGTTGAAGTTCTTAGCAGAGTGAGGCCTGCCTTTTAGGGGACGCAGAGACACATTCGGGCACCCCGACAACGGGAACTCCATGGGGTCCTCACAGTTATCAGCGAGTTTGATCCCTTCTTGAAAGCCCATATAGAAAAATGTTTAATCGTCGATGCAGTGTATTGACTGATTTGAGTCTGTTGACTGCAATGGACTTGCACAAGTTGTGAGTGTCCTGCTGTTCTTGAAATAATGTGCTCTAACAGGGTGGTCATTGGTCTTTGCTGAGCCGATCTTGTAGTTGTGTTTAGTCAATTTTAAAGTAAGTGTGCACATGATTTCTGTTGTCAGCTTGCAGGTTGGCTGTGAATCTGATTTATTGGTTGTATTGCTGTACTTGCATTACAGACTATTGTATTGTGTGTGTATTTAAGGCCTCATATGTACTCTGTGTACGTATGTGATCCCTGCATGTGCCGCCTTACATTCCGTTTGAATCTGCGTTAGCAGCTCTTACTCCGAAAGTGTCACTGAATTTTTACAGTATTTTCTCTGAGGGGGGGGCTACACAACATGTAGCCTAGGGGCCTCTGATCACCTTAATCTGTCACTGTTTATGTATTACCAAAACTCTTCCTATACTCACTAATAGGACAGAGGCAATACTCAGCCATTATTCTGATTCTTAGGCTGACATTCAAATGATTTAAAAAAAACAGGTTTAATGATTTTTCATAGCACAACAAAATGCAAAAACAGTATTTACGTGATGACTTTTACAAGGCAGACTGCAATTTTGCAAAGAGCTGTTGTGTTCATTAAAAAGACCCTTTTCACTTAAGCATAGTAGTGGCTAATTTTCCTGTTCAAAATGCTGAGTTAGGTTTCTGCCATAAAACACTTTTAAATGTGGACAAATTAGCATCATTATATTTTATACCACAGACAACACATCTATTAATGTATTCAATTTAATGTCATCTGCATATACATGTAGCTTGTGCAGAGAGTACTCATGCCCAAAGATTATGTCCCATTTTCTTCTTCCATCCATTTTCTAACTGCTTCTTCCAAATCCAATTGCAGGGAGTCAATGCCTATACCAAAAACCAACTGAGGCAAGACACCTTAGACAGGATGCCCGTCCTTCAATGGACAGACAGACATAAATATGTCCCATTTTACTGTGTTATAAATTGTGTTTACACATTTTTTTTAAATAAATATTATTGAACCAATCTTAAATGCTCAGACTGAATACATTTACAGGTGAAAGAAGTCAAATTATAGCAATAACTGCCATGTGGCATTAAAGAAATTGAACCTGAAAGATTTTGCGCTCTGTGTTTTGAGTATAATATAAATCACAAAAGTGAGAAAATTACTCTTCGCCTATCCATGACCCCACCCCTCAATAAATACTCTTGTTAATTTAGTAGCACTTTGACAAGCCTCTGTAGTGAAGAAACCCTATGTCTGTTACAACTTAACAATTAGGTCCTCAAGAACTGTTTCACTGTTTAGTACACACTCAGCTGGCCCAGGTTTCTCTGCCTCTTGAATGGAGGTGTAACTCATATATCCTACATGTGATTTAGCAACATGAAAGGGATTAGGGTCTTAACTGATTAGGGTCTTGGTTAATTGCCCAAGGGTGACCTAACTGCCAACTTTCTGACCTTTTATCTTATATGGCAAGAAACTACTACTGACCAATCTTAAATGTATGTCCTCATATGAAAATTTTGCTCCTCTTCAAGAATAAAAGCCTGTTGTTGTTCTTAGGAAAGTGAGTGAGGTACAAGGTTAACCTGTTAACTTTGTGCTCCTTTCTTTATTGCAATAAAGAAATCTCCAGTTTGATTTACCAGAGTTGTGTGGTTTACTAAGAAAGGGGTCTAACAAGAGAGTTAATTTTTTACCTTTTTAAAGTAATCTGCCATAAATCCAGGTGTGGGTTAAGTTAGTTGTTGTTACTATACTAATACTGAATTGCCCAAAGTTATCAACAGGTTTTTATTTAAAGTAATTTACTGTATTATGCTGAATGTTGCTTCTGGGAAAACCTCACAATTTATCACACATGAGGCCTTAAGCATTCATGGGAACATTCCATCTCAGGACTCCAATTAACAGTTCTTAAATGTCACCAAATTAAAGTAGTTTTGTAAGGAAGAATGGATTAAAATTATTCAAAACTGATGCAGGACATGATACACAGCGATGGGTCGTTTAAAAAAAATGTTAAAGTAATTTATTTAATCAATGTGCACCTTTTGTGCTTTAGTTGTATGTGTATGTGAACCTGCTTTGGTTGAACTTTGTTTTGTTTTTTCTGTTGTGTTTTTGTTTATTCATTCTTAAATGAATGAACAAAGTCCTTTTCACAATGGCATATAAAAATAAACTATTTTTATAGATCTGTCTGAGTTCTTGCTTTGTGAAAGACTTGCCTTTATGTTTAATATTAATTTAATATTTAATATGCTATGATAGAATACGATTATTTTTTATTTTATTATTGGGCAAATATTATTCCACATGGGGTGGACATTGGCCAGGATTCAAACCCAGGTGTTTTGCATAATAGAATTCTTCCACACTCCACATTAAGAATATACTGTGCCACCTGACACTTTTACAAAGTAGTGCAGTCCTGCATCATATTATTTTTAAAAAAGGGTGTTGGGCATTACAACTTGTAATAACTTATCACGTTTGGAGAACACTTTTTAGTGTATGAAAGCTTGCCTGTTATGACCATAGGCAGAGTAATTCTCATGTAAAATGGCACTTTAAATCAAGCAAAAGATGAAGAAGAAACTTAAAGTTTCTTAAATAAGTCTTAAAACTCAAACAAAAGCTTATCTTTCCTATTATTTCAAAAGGTAGTTGGGCATATCAATGTTCATTTGTGATAGTGAGAATGGTCATTATTGCTTAGAAGGCTAAAGTAAAACTGAATTAGACTGAAAAATCAAAACAATACAAACATGGTGTATAATGTACAGTATGCTAGAAATACAATTTATTAAATGTTCCCAATTTACATTGAGTGAGCAAAAGGTTTTTGGTTGAAAGTGAGATCTTACAACTCTTTGAAAGTCATTGGGTACAACTCTTGCAGGGCTGTAATCCATTCTCATTGCATGAACTACATTTGAGAGCCTTGAAGGAGTCTGTAAAGCAGTTTCGGAACACTGACATTTTGCTCCCATGGCACATAGAGCAAGGCAAGAAAGCAAATCCCCCGCAGGTAGAACACTCATGTGGATGCTGGACTTTCTGAAAAATAAAAGAGCATGAGAATGATTTCTGAAAAATAAAAATGCATGATAATCATATTTGCTTGTTTTCTCATATTCAATTATTACTGCATGTAATCATTACAGGAAATTACAAGTAACATCATTAATACTGCAGTGTTACAAAATAAGATAATGTAATATGACATAAACTATTACTATTAGAGCGTCATCGCCCTCACTACACGTAGCAGGGACCTCAGCTGCCTGGGCTGAGGGAGGTCTCCTTTAGCTCATGCGGCTGGTTCCCTGTTGCGTTATGCCAGAGACCCGGGTTCGCGCCAAAAATGCTGTGGGACGGAACCGGGTGGCAGAGGGCACAAGACCGCATGGAACTGCGATGGTCACACTAGCTACAGGTATCTTTGTTATTATAAGAACAATAAGCTTTCCTGCAATGAAACTGTACCTCTATGATTGCCCTTTTATTATATGTTTTCCTATTGTGGTAATATATTGATCACCAACCTTCTAAATATTATTTAAAGTATAATCACAGATATTTTTTTTTATTACATTCTGAATTTTTATAATATAGTACTCCTTTGTTTTTGCAGTCACTCATTATGGTTAGTACCCATTCTAAGCATTAATGATGATTTGCTCTTCTTATTTGCTCTTCTTATTAAATGTTTCTTATTATCAGTGTTATAACATTTATGCATTAATTATGCATACAGTACTTGCTTAACAAACAGATAATTTTACATTCTCAATTTAACTTGTTTATCTCAGACTCTGAAAACTGTCTGTAGCCATCTTACTGAAGATAACAAGTAAATAATACAAACAAAGCATTTGTATTTGAGATTAATGTTAAATTTCTTGAGTCACATCATTGTGGGAAATTTCTGACCTTGCTCACTGTGTTCTGCTGTAAATAATAGGAATTTGTATTGTGTATTATTCCTTCATGAGTGTAGAAATAACATTAATCTGTTTTGACAAGGTTTTGGTTATAAGATGGCCAGCAACAATCACTATATTTAAATATTTAATCATTACTTTGGTTTTACTATAAAATCCAAACTCAGTCACTCAAATAATCAAGTGTGATCTAACCTTAATTTGTATTAACAAATTTGGTGTATACAGAATTGGCATTTCTAATTTATCATTGATGTCCATTCATAATTTACTTTGTGCTCTACTGCATTATTTAAACCATTCTAGACTTTTGTGAAACAACCACAGTGAAAATGGATTTTAGTATTTTTGCTCTCAATAATTCTATCCTCTTAATTGCTACTGATGAGAGTCAAACAAACCATACGCTGCTTTCGATTAGTCAGTTTGTCAATTTCAGGTTATTTGATGTGATTTGATTTGAGTTTTCCATTTTAAAGCAAGTATGATGGGTAAAGATTAGTTCCTCATCAAGGACACTTTATATCAATCAAAATGCTCCAGAATACTTTCACAATGGTATAGTTGTCTAAGATGACAACATGAATTACAACAGAATGTGTAAATACAGATCAAGTATACTTTATATCTTTGTGACAGAATTTATTGAATTGTGTGTGATGATAATAATAATAATAATAATAATAATAATAATAATAATTGCTTACACTTATATAGCGCTTTACTGGACAATCCACTCAAAGTGCATTACATGTAATGAGGACTCCCCTCCACCACCACCAATGTGCAGCATCTACCTGGATGATGCAACAGCAGCCATAGTGCGCCAGAACGATCACCACACATCAGCTATTAGTGGGGAGGAGAGCAGAGTAATGAAGCCAATTCATAGATGGGGATTATTAGGAGGCCATGATTGGTAAGGGCCAATGGGAAATTTGGCCAGGACATAATGATAAATGGTGAGAACAAGAAAAGAAACTCTATATAATGCTCATGTAAAGGGAAAGAAATATGAAAAAAGAAATTAAATAACAATTAATATACAGTGACTTGCAAAATTATTCAAACCCTTGCACAGTTTTTTTTTATTTTGTTGCATTAAAGCTTACAGTCATGTAATGTGAAGTAGCAATTTTGATTTGTAATATAATAATACACTATCATACTGTACATTCAAAGCTGAAAACAAAAGGCTCCCATGGCACGGGAGCAAGGGACAAAATAAAATCCCCCAAGGAGAAATAAATTATTAAAATGAAAGAAAAATAGAAAACTTATGATTGCATAAGTACTCTAATAATTTTTTATTGCAAACCTAAATAAATATAGGTGCACATAATTACAACACAATTTCAGTAGTTATGTGGCTTCTTTCTCTGTGCAAAAATAGCGGTTCACATGATTTCAGAATTCATACATTCATCTATGTAGGGGCCCTCATCCAGGTAATGAATGCCAAGCTAAGATTCAAGCATGGAGAACAAGGAGCTTTCAAAAACTCACTGATCAAGTTGTATAAAGGCATAGATAAGGAGAAAGAAAAAAACTTAACATTTCTTTGAATATGATAAAGTCATTAAGAAGTATACAGCACCCAGACACTGCCTAGATCAGTCTAACCCTCCCGCCAGGCAAAGAAGAAACTCAATTGGCATGCCAAAGGTAACTATTAGACACAGAGTTCAGGGGCTGAATGAAATATAATATCCATAGGTCAGCAATATCCTGGTCCCCCCACAAACCTGGACTATATGGCAAAGTGGAAATTCCATTTCAAATGCCACATCTGAAATTGTAATAAAGCAATGATACAGTGAACACTTTAAAAATTGGAACGTTTTGGTCTAAATGCTAATTATTACTTCTGACAAACTTACAAACCCAACATAGTAAACCATCCACTGGTGGTGGCAGCATTACATTATAGATCAGCTACTCATAAGCAAGGACTTAAGTTGTTTGTCAAGACTAATGGGAACATAAGGCAAAGTACTGGAAAACCTTCTTCAGACCTAAAACTGGGAAAAAATAAGCTTTTAACAGGATAAGTGTCATGGAGTGATTAAAGTGGGTGTAAAGCAGCAGACCACTAAATTCACCAGAACACTTCTGGTCTTCATTTCAGTCCTGATTTCTGGCCTGAGGGTGGGGGCTTTATAAGCCTCAGCCAGAAGGACTGGTGGAGGGGAAGGATTTGGGACACAGACTGCACTATTGGACACAGAAGAGGACTCAAGAGACAAGAGGGGGCTCTACAGCAAGGAAGGCTCTTGAAAATAGAGGAAGGCTCTATCATTATCTTTCTCTCTCTACCCTGTATTTGTTGTGGAGAGACAGAGTAAGAGGAATATAATGGAACCATATTATTTAGAACTGGGAGGCCTAAAGAGGATACAGTATCTCAAGTGACCACACAGAGTTTCTTCTCTTTCTTGAGTGTGGCGGAAGGAGGCATACCAGGATATCCAACAGAGTTTACTTGTGAGAGTTGTGGAGTTTGTACTTTTTTTTTTCTCTTTTGTGACTTTCAGTCTGGGTCACTGGGGACTGTGAAGTTAATGTTTGCATATGTGAAGATACTTTTTCTTATATTGTTTATAAGCTTACAACAACTGTGTTGTGTTGGTCTGTGGGTGCAGTGGTGATTTCGGGAGATACAAAGAACCCATTGCGGGGAGAGCTGTCCTTGAGAAGAAGGTGCCATAGTCATCTCAATGCATTCTGCATATTGTGGTTACTGTGCATTTGTGCCACCCCCATATCCTGCAAAATGTTACTAGCGTAACATAATGACCCAAAGAAAAAAATCACACTAGAAGAGCTTAAGAATAAGAAATTTAATTTCCAGAGTCCTCAGTTTTTTCCTAATTGTGGAAAGACTAGAAAACTGCTGTTTATAACCCATCTCCAAATAACGTCAGACAGCTTCAGCAAATCTGTCAAGAAGAATCTGGCATTCCACCAAGCTGGTGTGTAAAGTTAGTAGAGACTTACCCAAAAAGACTTCTGGCTTTAATTGTTTACAACAAATATTAAGTTTAATACTTGTGCAAACAACAGATTTCAATTATCTTTAGTTTTTCCTGATATTTGCTGTAACTTATCTTACCCTTATAAGTCATTGGATTGAGCATTCATGTTTTAAATAAAACATTAAATCATAAAAAATGGGTATGCATCATTTCTTAATTTTCACAAAATTGTAGGGTCTGAATACTTTTGAAGGCAACACTGATAATAAAATAAAATATATGAATTTGAAAAACCTATTGAAGAAAAGTTTTTAATTATATGATTTAGTCAGAAAATGATTAGTAAACTGTATTTAATGTGACACTTAAGGTTTCAGGATTTAATATTTTAAATGCAAAGAAATACAAACTGAAACATTGCAAAAGCTTTATAAATAACAAATAACGTAATATTTATTGAGTATTGTATCAATGAATAAGTTGTTTATTTATGATTTTGGTCTGTTTTTTCACAAAACAGCAAACTTTTTTACCTCGATTTTGGTGAGCAGATCTTGAAGTTCTCCAGATTCATTCATTTCCAGTATTTTTTCTGCACCCTGTTAGTTTGCAAACAAGGACATTGTGAAAAATGAAGTGTCTTTCTTGAATATAAATACTCAAACAGTTTAGGAACACTTACTGTACTAATGGAGTGCATAACCTCACTAAGACTTAGCTACCCAAGGCATGATGCACAATTAGGCACAACTGATCTAATCTTGCTTTGCAACAGTGTAATTCATCGGTCATCCCAATAAAGCTTAATGAATTTGACAATCTGATTTATTAAAGTTGGGTGGGCTTGAGTCAACCAAAGATTCTTTCCTGGCTAGCCTCTTGTGAGCGAACTATTCTCAGTGATGCTGTATGGGCCTGCAGAGTGCAAAATAGTAAATGGCTCAGCCATGTGTGTTCAAAAGAAAAGCAAGTTTCTCATTATACCCTTTGCTTGTGTAAGAGTTGTAATATTGAACACGGTGAAAATTGTCAGCTTTAAAAAGGCAATTTCCATGATGTTCATCCCACATGCCATGTAGACCTCTTATTTTTATTTTGTGTCAATTTTCCTTATATCGTAGGTTTGTAAAATTAGTACTACAGGATATTTATTTTATTATCAGAACATTCCTTTATTATTCATTTATTTAAAAAATTAAATTATGTTACAATTAACCTTTCTTTTTTAATATATAAATTTTAGTTCAAATTTATCCACCTGGAGCAACATACAGTATATAATTTGTTCAAATATACAACATTATCTTCAACAAGAATTTAAACTTGTGACCCCTTAATTAGGAGAAAACATTGTAGTTCAAGGGTATGAGAAAAACTTCAGAGTTTAGTGAAGAGACATCTTATATACAAGTAGGAATACCATGGGAGCACAGGAATGGAGATAAAAGAAGCTTAACAGGGAGAATTGTGAATGAATGTGATCATGAAATATTGAACTCTATATCAAAGATGCATAACCAATGCTGAGTGGACATGAGCTAAAAGAGGTTGAATTTTTGTCACTATTACAGACTCTAAAATTACACCTGTAACAACAACGAGACTTTGTAATAGTAAAATGCAGATATTATCTGAAATTTGTAAGAAAAAATTGAAGTCTTACGCCAAGGTAATGTCCATCGATGAAAACCACTGGAAGTGAGGGAGATTCTGACACCCTCTTACACCTCTCCTCCAGCTCCTTCCCATACTCATTGTTAAGAACAATATTTTTTTCCACAAATTTTACCCTGTGGTTCTGGAATATCTTTCTCACCAGTTCACACCTTTCAAAGGTTGTTCTCACTACCCGGAAACTGGTAGTATATATAACTATTCTTCCGAATTCCAGCATGAAAGTTGGCTGAGAAAAGAAAATAAAAGCAATTCTATTACTGTTCAATACCAGCTTTTATTAGTGATAACATTTATAGTTCTCCAACATATTTGTATAATAGAAGAATATTGCATGCTAATTTAAAAAAAGATCTAAGAAAAAATATGAAGAAAGGAATTAGGAATTAACATATCTTAAAAAATTCCTAGGGTTGAATTTGTATGCGTAAATTGGAGGAAATTTGAAAATAAGTAAACTGTTGCACTTCCTATCTGTCTGGAGGTGGGCAGGAAGATGGGTCACACAATTGTTAAAGGTGTGTGGACATTATTGGTTTATTAAATTTGTTCCCTCTTTATATTTTGGTGGACTATATGATAAATACAATTGACTATAACAGAGTTTAGGTTTTCCTGAAAGGCTGATGTGATGTGATGCAGTGTCAAGCTCATGCTGAACAATCATACAAAGAGAAGCTAAAAGACTGTTGGAGATAACTTAACAATGGGAAGTGATTAATGAAGGGATAGTAGGGTGCAACACAGGTACAATGGTGTTGTCCTTTAGATATAGTTCCAGAATACTTTGATACACTTCACACATTAATTTAGCAGCAATATCCCCTGTAAAGTCATTCTAAATGATCAGAAATATAAAGTGTGTTTAGGCCAAGTTAAATATTTAGATTGCTTTACTTTTTGTGATTCTTCAGATTTAGGATTCAAGGAATTAGGAATTAGAATATTTTAAAAAGGTACGACTCTTATCAGTGTTGTAGCTAGTCTACGTGAATTAGCGTGGTAATTAATTAATAGAATGCGATGCAATATACTGTTATACATTTGAACATTGATTACTGAATTAAAAATCATCATTTTTCTAAAGTATTACTGTACAATACAGAATGGTTTATCTTCACTATATAAGAATATTTGCCCATGTATCTGTATGTAATTGTGCATACAATTTACTTAGAAATCACATAATATACCTAAAAAGTCATGGACATGTGAATGGCAGCAAAAATGTTTCACACTAAATGGTGTTACATAACTAAAACTGTACACCCCACCCTAATCAAGATCTGACTCAATACATGCTGTGATGTTGCAAACTCCAAACAATAGCATTTTTGAAAATAATATACTAATAAGTGTGGACAAAGAAGACATATATTTATAATATTTTCTGCGTTTTTGTGCCCGCATTGACTTTTCTTTTACAGTATGTGAAGTGCTTTGGCAATCTTCAGGATGAAAAACTGTATAAAACACAAGGAATTAGTTCTTTAAATGTTATGTACTGTATGAGGCCACAAAGAAGAAAAGTTTAATCTGATCATGCCTTTGTGGATTGGTGTTGAGCATGGTTGCAGTTGGCATCAACTATAATTGGTGTCAGATATTTCTAATATGATTCATACAAGAAAGAGAAACTCATGGTAGATGAAGTCACTATTATTCATCTTCAGGACGTGTAACAGACCCCCCTCTGATTCATAGAGTAGAAGGTAAACCTGCATATAAATTTTCCCTATTATAGAGGAGCAGACTAGATAGTAAACGGATAACCCCAACATAATTTTGTCATCCCACCCCAACCATCTTATTTTGGGATGTGAGTCCCAAAAGAAGACATGCCTAGGACTAATTTTAACCAAAATGTAGTAGAAAATGGTTTTGCCTGGTAAAACCATTTTGGCCAGTCTGCCAAATACTCCCCTTCTTTTTAACCTGAGACTGACATGCTAAGGCTAAGACTGACATGCTAACAGCTAAGGCTGTTACTAAAATTGTAAAGGGATAGTTATTTTAACCTTATAATGATTATCCTTCTTCCAAATATTGTGGGCAATCTCACTGTGCAATCTTGGTGTCTTAGTGTCAGAAAGATTCATGAGGGTCAGAATAGACTACCCCCTTCCTTTCCATATGGCTTTTATAGGGATAGCAGTTTACAAGTGCAGCTAATTTCTTAATTTCCTCATACAAATGTAGCATGTGGAATTTCTCATTGCTGCCCTCTGATGGCTCCACCCTCTTTTCACATAAATCAGACTGACATGTTACTGAAGAACAGAAGAATATAAATGTAATTTAAAAGGAACAGTCATTGTCTCTTGGGTTAGCTTAAAGAGGTAAGCCAGAGGTTTAGTAAGGAAAGGTAAGGTCTGTTTGGACTGGATCACATCAGCACTCATAGAAATAAAGCCAAGCAGTATTGCAAACATCAGTTTTACAGGAAATGTGGTTAGAGTGCTTTTTCTGACAGAGGTTTATGGAATGGCATATTTATTTACATACACGTATAAATAAATGCATGGCCACTGATTTTGTTTATTTTTTTGGAATTCATTAAATTAATGAAACACCTGGCTCTCTGAGTTGTCTGTGTTAATGTACAGTAAATTACATGTAGGCTAATTAGAGATAGTTTAGAGTAAGTGCAGGCATTTGTGCATGGGTTCAATTGAGAGATATCCTCCACACAGATGAAGGTGTCAGTCTAGTCAGTTTCTAGTTTATTGGTTAGACCAGGTGCAGTAATCTTGTTTTTGTATGAAGTTATCAACTTTCTTTGTGTTTGCTTATTTCACAAGGTTAGGAAAGTAAAGTACATACCAATTAATTTGAAAACAATCATGATAATGCTTATTTGTTATTATTATTGTAGTAAGCCATTTTAGGAGTATTAATTGCTGTTCCTTTGTTTGCTATGCATATTAATGAAGATCAATTTGTACATGAAGTGATTAAAGTAAGGCAAGACATTTTTAGCAATGATTATAATAGAGATATGGAATTTCTGGGCCAATAACGATAACCAATAATTAACAGCTTGTTGTGACCAATACAGATACCGATAACCAATGACTGATAATTTTACTTTTTTGCATTTTAAAACAAGTTCACACCATAATCCACAGTTGATGTGTAATGAGAGTAAGAAAGCTAAAACTCTGTAAAGCTTACCATACTCATCGGACTAACGTCAGAAGTCCATACTGTACAGTAAGTCTGTTGTGAAGCTAATGTCTCTGAAGCTAATGTCTTTGATCAGGTTGTGTATCTGTGTGGCGACAACATCATACAGAGCTGGTGTCGTATCGAATTCAGTATGTCGTGGAAATATGTATCCCCTTTCAAAGTCCCAATGTGCACTGGAAATCAAAATTATTTGCATGTCCCTAACAAAAACAAGCTCACACAAGCATTGTTTAGAATTGCGCGTTTCCTACAGACAATACGAAATGTGTGCACAAGCAGGCAGACAAATCATAACTCTGATTTCCAGTGCATATGCGCACTTTGAAAGGGGATACAGATTTCCACGGCATACTGAATTTGATACGACACCGGAAAGGCAACATCAGAAAAGTAGCGGTGGCTTGAGAGAGTATAACAGGGTTCCAAATGCTCAATTAGTTGACAGAATCCTAGATTTACATCTATATTTATATTCATATGTGTGATACGATTTTTCTGCGTACTGTTCTGTTCAAGTTTGTTCTTTGTGTGTCCGGACTGTGAGTAACTCTTTTAGTTCACCCCTCACTGTACTGATTGTATTGTATGTATTGTACTATTATTATTATTGTATCATTCGTTACTCTGTGGCTGTGTTGTCTGTGTAAACCTGCTGTTGCACTGCAATTTCCCTCACGGGATCAAAAAAGTATCTATCATCTATCTATCTATCCTCCAGAATCGAAAAAAGGGTTGGTCATCAAGTGCCATAAACTCCATATGTCTGTATTTGCTTTATTCTTCAGACTGTCCTTGGCAAATTTTCTGCAAATTTCAAATGCCTGTCAGATTGGCATTGCTGTACTTGCTACTGTTTTTGTATTCTTGCCAATGCTAACTGACTCAACTTTTTTAAAATAAGTCATTGGAATTAAGAGTTTTAGTATCTCTGTCAGTAACTTCACATGAGAATAAACTATGCATCTAAAAAATGTGAATGCAGAGTTTCTCTGATATACAGAATTTTCTAGTTGTCATATCTTAAATGCTAATTATTAAAAAATACTTCTGTGGAGTAGCAGGCTCCTCATTATCATGAAAGTCATCAAACATAACACAGACCCCACACAATATTTATGGAAGAACTATAACAGTCAGATAGATGCCTGCAGTTCAGTGTTTAGAATGATGGTTATGCTGAGAAGGTATTAATCAAAGATAAAATGGGGAAGCGTAGTTCTCGCAAACATGTGGATGTGCAGATTAGAGGGGAGAATGGTAGTTTGCTAGCTCCATGAAGTTGTCCCCCCTGTGCTGTGTTCATTTCATTGTACACAGCACAAACAATGAAAACCACCTCATTCATTAGTGCTACAGTACGTTTGTGCCGGATTGTGCCATTAAAAGTAGTGTTTGTGCTGCTTAAGTTTCCAAGATATAGCGCCTTGTTTTTTCAGTGATGTCACACAGCCTCCTTAGAATGTCATAGAAGAACCGGACTGGTCTCATTCGTTAGTGCTACGTTTGTTTGTGCCGTTGAAAGTAACGTCCCTTGTTTATCGGTGTCACGATTATAGTTCCCCCCTCCTTAAGGGTGCTCCAGCCCTTTCACTTGAGACTTTATTCTGTGCACCTGTTTCCTATTCCCAGCCCACCTTAAAAGCCAGGCGCTGACGCTCACCCGGGCTCTGCATCTGATTTCCGTATCGTGCGAGTCCGGGACCTGGAAGCGCCTGGTCCCGTTAAGGTTTTAATCTCGGTTCCCGTTCCTGTTCCCTGTCTGCTGGTTCCGACCCGGCCTTCGTGTTTTAATTCCTTGTTCTGATGGATCTCCTGGTTTTGGACTTACCCTTGTGTTTTGGATATTCTCTAAGGACTACTCTTTTGGATTGTTCGCCTCGGCCACGCCTCCCCCGTGCACCAGCGCACCTTGGACACGCCCCCATGTCTTCAGCCCCGTATTCCTGCATGACGTTTCCCTAGTGTTTCCCCACTTCTTTGGATTGTGTCGTCCGCATAGGGTCCGGAAAGAACTGTTCGTTACAATCGGGTGGTCACGTGACCATGCATGGCGACTTTGAGTTCA